GGGGGGGGGAGGAGGAGGATGCGGGCTCCCTGCTGTCTCTTGGAGAGGGAGGGCCTGGCCGCGGGCCCCGTTCCTGACCAGGTAACGCCCCATGGAGCCCCACTGGGGGTGGCCTGGGACCTGCGTCCATGGGGCCTTCCAGCGTGTGTCCCTGAGGGGCTGGGACTGCCCTCTGCCCTCCCCTGGAGGACCCTGGATGCTGCGCTGCCTCTGGGTTCAGCGGGGCATGTGCTGGCAGGAGCTGCAGGCCACCAGGCCGAAGCTGTGGGCCATGGATCAGGCCCAGGGCCGGGCGGGGGCAGAGGAGGGCACCAGGGCCAAGGCCGCGCTGACCAGGCAGCTGCTCAGCCCCGAGACAGGTAGGAGCCAGCGGGCCAGACCGACCCTTCCCTGTGGGTGGGCCCTGTCCCCTCGGTCGGGGGGCCACTGGCTGCTGCAGGGAACACGGGCAGAGCCCAGTAGTCTCGACACGCGCCACCTGACACAGGGCAGGCACACAGTGAGTCCAACGATCCCAGGTGTGACCCCCTCACCCTGCCGGGAGCAAGGAGGGGCCTGCCCTCAGCAGCTGCAGGAGCTACTGCCCTGTGAGCCCCCAGCCCAGCTTTCTCTCTGCAGGCTGCCTCTGCCCTGGGACCCCCACGGAGAAGGTGGAGGCCGACCACAGATCCATCTACGTGGGCAATGTGAGTCGGGGGAGTGCAAAGGGCCTTTCAGTGGGCGCCCTGCCTGCAGCCCTGGGTCAGGAATACCGGACACCTAATGGCAAGGCGAACTCAGAGCCACGTGGGCCGTGGGGAGGAGGAGGGCGGGGCCGGGGCGCTGCTCCCTGGAGGGAACGTGGGCAGGCGCCATCAGGCAGACCTCCCCACGGGAGATGGGATTCGGGATTCCCACGGGAGACCCCCCAGGGGCCAGTCACTGGCAGCGAGTCTCACTGCTAAAGCTGCAGCTGCACAGGCCGAATGAAGACTGGGGGTCGCCTGGCACCGGGGGCCCTCATCTCAGGCTCCAGTCCAGCTCAGCAGGGGCGAGGCAGGACCTGGACCTTTCCAGAAGAAAAAGGGCTGTGGGGGCCCAGGAGGGTGGGGCCTCAGCAGGAGCCACAGGGCCCTGCCTGTGCCAGGTGGACTACGGGGGCACGGCCGAGGAGCTGGAGGCCTACTTCAGCCACTGTGGTGAGGTCCACCGGGTCACCATCCTGTGCGACAAGTTCTCCGGACGCCCCAAGGGGTCAGTGCAAGGCCTGGGGCAGGGACACTGCTGGGCACAGGTGGCCAGGCAGCCCTTGCCCTCACCTGCACTCCCACCCCCAGCTATGCCTACGTAGAGTTTGCCGCGCAGAGCTCCGCCCAGGCCGCTGTGAGGCTGGACAGCAGCATTTTCCGAGGCCGGGTCATCAAGGCAAGTGTCCCCCAGGCGTCACTGTGCACCTTGGGACCCTGGGGTGTCTGGGATCTGTTCTGAGCTTCTAAACCCAAAATCCCCAAGGGGCCAGGGGACACTGCTGTGGAAGGGCCTGGGCACTTGCCCAAGAACACTGGTGCCCCTGCCTGACCCTCCTCCAGGAACCGTGTCTCTGGGCACGTGCAGAGGTGCTGGGTGGGGGTCCAGTCTGTCGGCACTGGACAGGCTCCAGCCCCGAGCCAGGGAAGGTGTTTTTCCTGCAGGCAGAGATGTTGGTGTGATAGGACGGGTCACGTGACCGTGCGGCCGGCTTAGGCCTATGCGGGTGTCTTGAGGAGGGCGGGAACAAGTTAGGGTCGGGGGCCCTGGAGGCCCTAACCAGCTGCACCGACTGGATAGGTGCTGCTTGCGAGCCTGCGGCAGGGAAACCCGGGAGAGCTTCATGGAGACAGTTCTTAGCCCTGGGCTCTGCCCCGGGGTCTGGACAGAGGCCGCGCGGGAAGAAGGGTGTGAGAACGGGGGTCTTCTGGGCTAGACTCGGCCTTTGGTCCCAGGTGCTGCCCAAACGGACCAACTTACCAGGGATCAGCTCCACAGACCGTGGGGGCCTCCGGGGACACCCAGGCACCAGGGCAGGACCCTTTCCTGGCCGCAGCCTCCACGGTGGGGCCCACTTCAGGACTTGGGGGTGGACCCGGTGAGTGGGGGGAGCCTGGGGCTCACCTCCCTTCTCCCCACCGTCCAGGGCACATGGAGGTCTCTCGGTGGCGCTCACCATACTGGAGGGCGGGCCGACTTTGGGGCTGGGTCAGGAGCGAACCCCTGTGCTCCACACGGGCCGTTTATGTGGCACGGAGTAGCTGCCGGAGCCTCACGGCGGCCCAGACGCCATGGCGGGAGTCTCGAAGCACAAGCGAGCGGGCCGGGCATGGCGGTGCCCCTGGGGGCTCCAAAGAGCTCTAGGCCACACCCGGCTCTTCAGGGTCAGCTCCGGGTTGGCCCTCTCAGGGCTGTCCAACCAAAAACTTTTAAAGAAAAATAGACATGTCTTAATGGTAACATAAATTATTAAACTTGAGTATTTTTTTAAAACGCGACTTCACCTTTTATCTGCTTCTTGGACTCGGCCAGTCCCACCTTTCTCAGGGGTTGCAACACGGCTGTGGGTTGGAGACCAGGCCCCAGCCCACCTCTGCTTATGGCCGGCGGCCGTGTGGGGATGTGCGGGGGTGTCCAGGGAGGCTGCAGCCGACGGCAGGCGTGGCGGCCTCAGGGGCCCACACTCCCACCTGAGTGCACCTCGAGAGCTCGCCTGTGAGGCGCTGCAGGAGGGGGCACCTCGGCACCTGTATGGGCCTGGCCCTCGTCATAACCTGAGGCAGAGGGGGCCTTTCCTCGCTGCGTCCCCTCTGCAGCAGGTACGTGGCTCTCTCCCTGCAGGTGCCGAGAGGCGGGAAGGAAGTGTGGGGCCCAGCGCAAATACCTTGGTTCTGGCGTTCAGGGGCTGAGTGCCCGGTCCCCAGGCTCCCCCACAGCAACTCTCGCCACCTGTGCCATGTGTCAGCCCCTGCAGCCATGCTTGGGGCTGCCCTGGGCCCTAGTGAACAGGTGGCCAGCCCCCAGCCTGAGTCCCTTGTGCAGCACCAGTGAAGACAGCCTTCCTGGGGGAGGGGCTGCCTCTCTGCTCCCTGCCCACAGTCATCTTTGACATCCTCCCCCAGGCCAGCTTCACTCTCCCCGTGATCTGGGGTCAACGCAGCCCTTGTAGTGGGTTAACAGACAGCACCTCAAAATACTCCGCATCCTGACCCCAGACCCTGCGAATGTGACCTTATTTGTAAGAAGGGTCTTTGCAGATGTAAATTAGACCTCAGGATAAGATTGTTCCAGATTATCTGGGTGGGCCCTGAATCAACACACACGCCCAGAGAAGACAGTGCGGAGACAGAGGCAGAGGCTGGAAAGGGGTGTCTGCAGGTTGTGGACCCACAGCTGGCTGGCAGCCTCGGAAGCTGGAGAGAGGCCTGGAAAGGTCCCTCCCTCAGAGCCTCCAGAAGGAACCAGTCCTGCCAACACCTTCATTTCGGATTCCAGCCTCCAGAACTGTGAGAGTAAATTTCTGTTGTTTTAACACCCTCCCACCCCATCTTGGAGAGGGTGGGAGGATGGGCTGCACTCAGGGGACCTGGCCAAGACCACCCAGCAGCTCAGGGCAGAGCCTTCTGGCCCTGGAATCTTGTGCGTGGCCCGGGCCATGGGCAGCAAGGGTTGCTAGGGGCACGCACCCCAGCATGGTTCTGAGCTGAGGTCACTGCACAGGTAACACCAGCCCTGCTGCTCAAAACCTGGGCGGGTTCCCTCCCCCGTGGGCTTCACTTCGGTCCTGCCTCACCCGCTGCGCTCCTCCTGGGCGCCGCCTCCTTCGTAAGGACCTGCAGGCATCTCCTGCCGGCCCGCGGATGCCTTCTGGGAAGAGTTCTCCTGATCCCTGCCCAGTGGCCACCGTGAGAGTGGACCCAGCAGCCCTGCCCTCCCCTTCCCTGCATTTCAGGACTGAGCAGGCCGAGGTGGAGGGAGGGTGAAGCGCACTCCTGGTGGCCACCATGTAGGTGGCCAAGGCTCCAAGCGGTGAGCCACCGATCAGAGCCAGGGAAAGCCATCACGGAGGCCCCCTTTCCCCATCGGGTCTGGGGCAGAGGGATGCCACAGAAGACAGAGAAACCACCTTTAATTTCACAGCCAGCGGCTGACTGGGAGCTGCCCCCATGGGACTCAGCCCTGGGGACGCAGGGGATAAGCAGGCAGGTAGCCCTGAGGCCGGCCTGGTGATTAGGAATGCAAAAAAGTAATGTGAGCCAACCACCTGACAGGGCTGCTGGCTTAAAATGGGGATGCTTCCTAACAATGTGTGAAAACTCCCTCACATAACAAGCATGTATGGGTTATTCAGGTTGTACCTACAGAAAAATCCAAATAGCAATAACTTTAACAAGATAGGGGTTTATTTTCTCACATTAAAAAAAAAAAGCTGAACATAAACAGCCCATGGCTAGTATACCAGCAAAGACCCAGGCTCCCTCTAGCTTTCTGCACCCCCAACCTTAGGGCATGAATCTTGTTCCCACGTTCTCAAGATGGCTGCCTAAACTCCAGCCATCACATCTAAGTTCTAGGCAGGAAGAAGAGAAAATATGAAAGACAAGTACTCCACCTGCCAGCAAAATCCCCTCTTCAAGGATCTTCCCTGCAAGTACCCTCCCAGTGCTATCCACTTACATGCCATGACTACCTACCCTCGTGTGCAGTGGAGGATAGAAGTATCTGTTGTCTGGTTACCTGTCCCCAGTAACACCAGGATTCTATTAGTACGGAAGCAAAGGAGAATGGATGTTGGGTCAGCAACTTGCAGCCCCTACACGGCCACTAAGCAGGCAGGAGAGCTTAATCACTAAAACCCAACCCAAGATGTGAGGCTGGCCTCAGGCCGGCTGGCAGCAGACCCCCATCTGCTTTGGGGGCTCCTCAGCCCCTCTGGGGTTTCCAGTTACTCCTGCGCTGGGACATACGGTGGGGACCTGGGACTTGTGTTTTTAACACACTGTATCAGCTCATTTTTTTTCTTTACTTCTGAAACTTAAGAAATCACTACTTTGTTCATGAGCAGGGAAGGGAGTCCACCTCCCAGTCGCAACCCCCGGCTGGCCAACCATGCTGAGCGTTTCCCGCTCTCCAAGGGCGCCTGAGCCACCCTACTCCGGGCCAGAGGCCCTCTCCCTAGTGACTAAGAGGGCAGGGAGGGGCTCTCGGCTCTCGTGGGGCTGCCACCACTGGAAAGCCAGCCACCCTGAAAACTTGGGGCAGACTACGGGGTGGGGCTCAGACCCAGCTGTGCGTGGCCTCTCCCACTTTACAGCCACAATGTTAAATGGCAAAGGGTGATGGCACCTGGGCCACTGGATCCTGGAAGGGCTGTCACCTCAGTCATGGTCAACTAGTGACAACCGTCATCTGGATTTGGCTGGGCAGGCTTCTGGGGAAGGTGAATGCAGAAATCCCATTACATCAGATCCTCTTCAGACGTAACCCCAGCCCCAGCGTGCCAGGTGCCTGTGGGCAGCAGGGAAGGGGGCTCACCTCCGACCCCTCGGCTGGCGCACTAGCTGGAGGAGTGCCTGCAGACTGAGCTGGTTCTCAGAAAGCAGCATGAGCAGACCCTGCGTTTACATGAGGCTTCTGGCTCCCCGGGGCGCCCCCACCACACGCTGGGCCAGAGCAGAGCAAAAAGAGGAAGGTGCACCCACACTTGGGGAAGTCGGGTGGGCCGTCCCACATGGCCCCTCTGGGCACAGGCAGCCACCTTACAGACCACCCACCTGGGGAGCCACTGCAGGGGCCAGCCCTGTCCTTCTGTGCCACCCTCTGCCACCCCACAGCCACAGCCTCTTCAGGGCTCCAAGCTTCGCAGGCTCCCACCACCCTGCTCACCCCGCCCTTCATGCCGAGGGGGCCGGTGGCTCCCTGCCTTGTGCCCCCTCCCTGAAAAGCCTCGTGTTAAACTCCCTTGTTTAAACCCTCTGCTGACAGAAGGCAAAAGCCAAACCTTATCTTACAAGAAAGACCTTTAGTCGGCTCAGCTGTGCACACAGCCCTGCCTCCGAGCAGCTCATCCACGACGCTCAGGGAGGGGCACAGGCTAATAAATACACATCTAATGACACGGTTATGCACAGAACGCTTCTCTTCCAGCAACGGGCAGCAGTCTTCGCTCAACAGACCTGTATCATCATGGACGTCACCATGCTCTCGAAGGCCCTGCAGAGAGAGACTGGCTCAGAGCAGCAGACCCAGGCCTGCGCCCCTCGCCGGGCTGGCAGACAGGTCCTGCGGCAGCGCCCATCTCCCGGGAGGCTCCTTCTGCAGGCTCGGGTAGGCACACTCGGCAGAGGCCAAGATGTGCGTCCAGCCACACCCAGCAGTGAAAATCCAAGTCTCCTGCCTCCTCCTTCCCGGTAGGGTCTTCAGCCCCGGGGTTGGGGAGGAGCTGCCCCGGAGGCGCCAGGCTCTGCATTAGCAGTGGCTGCTTCTCCCTGCTGGGACCCAGGATGACCCGAGATGCAGCGTCACAGTTGAGGGAAGGTGCCACCAGCTTGGGTCACTGCGGTGTCCTCTCACCTGCCAGCTATAAGGAGCCCCTTGGGAACCACATCTAGGGATGGAGGGAAGCCCCAGGGGCAGCTTTAGAGTCTGTGCACCTGAGCACTTTAGGAAGCACCTTGGGACACCCCTATACTGAGTCTGAGCTTATCTGAAGGCTGTCTGGAAGATTCCTGCAGTCCCATTTCCTAACAGTCCAAATTCAGCATCAGACACAATCGGGCAGCAGCCGACAGCCTCACCCAGAAGCTCCTGCATCTTCCTGGACTCTCACTCTGGGCCATGAGGCTGCCCCAGGACCTGTGGGCGCACCTGGGAAGCCAAATGGGTGCCCTGGTCCCCAACACCCCTTCTGTTTCATACAATCTGTAAGAGTTTAGACAGTCCTGCTGCCTTGACCAGGGCCCATCACTTCCAAGGCCTTCCTCCTCAGGCTCAGAGCCTCTGCCCCCAGCAAGATGGGCTCACAGCAAAGGCAGCCCCCGAGGGCGTCAGCCCACCTGGACTGGATGCGGTCCCCCGGGTTGTAGAAGGGGTTGCACATCACATCTGTGTAGGAGCTGTGCAGCTTCCGGAACATCTGAAACCAAAACCAACTGTGTTTGGGATTCACCCACACGTGCAGCTACTGCCAGGCATATGGCTTCCCGGCATTTCAGAACAAAGCAGAACACAGACAGTGCCAGGCAACCAGCAGACCCATCCTCACACTGCGAATCTCATTGTCACGAAGCGCTGTGTTGGACGAGTCCACCACCATGACAAACTTCACTTTGGAGTTAGTCACATAGCCGTACCTGCACAGCGTGTTAGGGAACATGCCTCTACAGCAGGACCGTGTGACAGCACAACACCCAGAGCCACCATGAGGAGAGTGAGCCGGGCCCTCTCTGCACCTCCCCAGGCTCCAAAGCTGCTCTGGAGAAACTGACAACCCCACGTCACAGAAGTGCCTTGGGCTGGGCCACCCTGCGATGGCGGGAGGGCCATGACCCCACCGGTGTGATGAGACACCCCTGGGGCAGCCTCTGGTGTCTGCCTGAAGAGTAAGGGCAGGAGGCTGAGCCCCATCCTGATGCAAACTCCAGAGCTGACCTGCCAGCCTCCGGGTGTCTCACCTCTTTCTGAACCAACTTCTAGCCCAGGAGTGTTAACTGCAAAATCAGGACTTTCACAGATAAGGTGAATCCCGCCGGAGGCATCCAAACCACTGCCAATTTGTGGAACAGGGCCTCCCAGGTCAGCGTCACTGCGGGTGAGCTACGTCCTTGCTTATGGAACATCGGTGAACTCCACGGGTTTCAAGCCATTTGTCCCAAGGGACAAGTCAAACTTTTACAGTGACTTGTGTGGCCGGGGCTGGTGATGAAGTGAGTGAAAGGACCCTGCCTTGCTCAGAGGGGGCGGCCCCCCAGGAAAGCACAGAAGGGAAGCCTCGGGGGCACAAACCACACAGTTCTCCAGGTGGTCTGAGTTTGGCTTTTGGCACGTCATCCTCCCAATCATAGGGGAAGGGGTGTGTGGTCTTAATTAGCGTCAAGCTGCCAGAAGTCCCTGAAGGCTGGAAGCCCTCACCCTCCCTTCTCTTCAAGTGACCTGACAAGATGCCTTTCGGGAGCTTGGGTCCTACAGCACACCTCGTCACTACAGGTGGAACCCCCAGAGGGAAACCCTGCCTGCTGACAGCCCCGTGGCCAGGAAGGATACACCTTGTAGTCCTCTGTGGGGTACAGCAGGCCCAGGTAGAGCTCCCTCTGGTCCACCAGGGCCTTCCCCATGGCTGAGATCTTCTCGTCCACCACATCCAGGGACGTGTGCACCATGTAGTGGAACTTCAGCTCGTTCTCTGTGGGGACGCTGCGGATGTAGAGAGGGTAATTCTGCAAGAAATGGTGACGACGACTGACGTGGCCGGAACCCACCCAGTGTGCTGACTAGCAAACAAGGCCCAGAGCACCCGGGTGGGCAGTGGGCTGGCACCAATTAGCCGTGGGAACTCATGCTCACGCTCACCACCCAGTGCTTAGCAATCCAAACTGCTATGGCCACTACCACGTGGACCCAGCCTAATAAACGGAGGTTTACCTGTTATCCGCAAGAAGGCATCACTAAGGTGAGCAGAGAGGAGACAGTTCAGAAAATGGGTTTCAGTGCAGCCTGACAGCTGACCCTGCCACCTGGATAGGTCACTCACCTGCTGTGTCATGCCCAGTCCTGGCACTGGCTCCCCTCCTGCCCTGTAACACTGGCTGTTTCCCAGTCTTCCACCTCCTGTGAGCTCTTTGCCTTGGCAGAGACACTGGCCTCTCGTCGCTGAAGCCCTCAAGGCTCAGCTGAAACTTCCCTTCATCTCTGCACAGCCATTTCTGACCATCCTGAACTCAGAGTTCACAGCACCTTCCTGAGACTCCACGGGCCACGACTCACTGCTTCTGTCCCACACTGGCGCTGCACAGATCCAACCAACTCAACGCTATCCCTCCCCCAATGGGACTGACATCTGGTGGAGGCAGTGGGCAAACCAGACCATAAATAACGTGTCACACACAGCTTGTGCTAAGAGGCCTGCACTTGTAGGGCTTCCCCGGAGGACCCCCTCGCAAGCCTGGTCTTGCAGAAGGCACGGAAGGGCCAGCAAGGCTTTGTAGGTTAGAAGCATGGGGGCGGCCACACGGCTCAGTCTTGGGATTCAGAAACAACCTTCCATATGAAATGAAATCTACGGTAGCGAGGGAAGGAAAGGAGGGTGGGGGAGAGGGGCGAGGAGCTCCGGGTGCAGAGGCCCGTCGGGGCTGGAGTGGAGGTGTCGGGGACGCGGGGGGAGAGGGGCGCGGCGACCAGGTCGTTCAGAAGGGCCTCATCCTAAGGCAGTGGGGAGCCGCCGGAGAGCTTCTGGGCAGGGACCGGGCACGCTCTGTTCCTAAAGCAGCACCGCGGATGCTGCGCGGAGAGAGGCCGTCGGCTGGGCGCGAGGGCGCGGGGGAGCGGGATGGAGACAGGTGGGCCGCCGGACTGGGGAGCAGGACCCCACGGGGCACGAGGACGGCCGGGCGCGGAGCAGGCGGGGCTCCGGGGGTCCAGGCCGGGGGCGCCCAGGGCCGGCCCTCGGCCGCGGCAGAAGCGGGCCCCCTCGGCGCGGGGAGGCCCTGGGGCGCGTCTTTCCGGAGCCCGGCGGGGTGGAAGGAGGGCGGAGGGCGGGCGGGGCCGCCGGGGGTCCGCTGCCCGCTCTCCCGGCCCCCGCGGGCGGCCGCCGGGCTCCGGAGCGGGTCGGGGCCACCGCCCGTACGCACCTCCTTGGCGATCACCGCCACGCACACCGCCATCTTGGGAGGCCCGGCCCCGCGTCACGCGACCTCGCCGCCAGTCACGGGGTCGACGAGGCCCCGCCCCCCGTCCGGCTGCCGGCCCCGCCCCGCCCCGCCCCGCCGCCCGGCCGGAAGGGCCCAACGCGCCGCAGCCCGAGTCGCGGGGCTAGTCCGGGCTCGGCGGCTCCGGGCGCTGTTGCCATGGCGTCGGCTGCCGCGATGACGAGGTGGCGGCTGCTGCTGGTGCTGAGCGCCGCGGCGCCGGGGACCACTGGCGCCCCGCAGCCGCCAAACATCCTGCTCCTGCTCATGGACGACGTGAGTGCGGGCGCGGGCCGGGCTCCGCGGAGGGCTGCGCTCTGGGCGGCCGTGGCGGGAGGCCCCGGCGGGCCGCGAGGGCAGCAGCGGGCAGGGTGGGCGTGGGGGAGGCCATGGGGGCAGCGGAAGGGGGCAGCGGGGAGATCGTGTGGGCGCAGTGGGCCGTGGGGTTGGCTCTGGGGGTGCCGAGTGCCCCCCATCTCCGCGTGTATGAAGCCGAATGAGGTAGGTAGTTTTTTGGACCGGAAGACCCCTTATGCTCTGGAAGAACGGAGGAGCAGCCTAGACCCCAGCGCCCCTGCTGCCCTCGCATCAGAGGCGAGGAGGGTGTGCAGAGCCCACCAAGACCCAGGGCCTGCCTGCCCTGAAACTCACCTTCCTCTGCCTTTGGCCTGTGGGACGTGCCCTGCCGCGGGACTGTCCCCGGCTGCGAGGTCAGGTCATGCTGCTCTGCCCTGCCGAGAATTCTGGCCAGAGGTCAGATCTTTGTGGGTCCCAGAAGACCCAGGAAGGGCTTCACCTGATGGGTGTGCGCAGCCCCCCGCCCAAGGCCCCACTGGTGCGCCAGCCCTACAGGGGCTGGCACAATTCCCGGCTGGGAGCTGAGCCCACTCGTCCCCCTGTGGCTTTAGCCCCTGTGCTCCTTCCCCCACGGAAGCCAGGAGCGCGTTCTATCCATAGGTTTGCAGGAGTGAAATGGAGATTCTGAAATGAGTTAGTGTGAGGCGTCAGGGCGAAGTGAGAGGGCAGACAAACACGGGCTCAGTCTCCCGTGAGCTGTGTGGTGCTAAAGGCCTCTGGGCCTCCCCAGTCCAGCTGTCCTCACAGATGCCCAGTGCACTGAGGCAGGCAGAGGACAAGCCGCAGGCGCTCAGTACCAGCCGGGTCCCAGGACCTGTCCTGGCAGACGGCTCCTAAAACTCTCGGTCTCTGGAGCGGTAGCAGGGTCTTTGGAGCTGTGGCTGGGGCCCTGGACAGCTTCAGGACAGGGTCCCAGAAAAGCCAAGGGACGGTTAAAGGGCAGGGGCTTTCAGCACAGCTGACCTCCAGGGAGGGAGGGGGCTGGAGCCCAGGTGGAGGGTGGGATACGGCTCCCTCTTCTGTAATGATTCTGTATCACAAATGTTCGTAATAAAGGGAGGCTTCCCTGTATTCACTTTCACATAAGCAAACTGCTTTCCTGTGTTCCATGTGCCACTGCAGCAAATGTATTGAGCCAGAGGAGAGGGGTTCATGGGGACCCTTGATTTACAGCAGGTCAGTCAGAAGCACAGTGGCCCCGGGACCCACGGCTGATGTCTGCAGGGCAGGCCTTGCGGGACCGAGCCCTTGACCTGTGGGGTCTGATGCTGGCTCCAGGGAGGTGATTTCAGAACCGCACTGCTGGAGCCCCAGCTGATGCCCAGAGGTTGAAGAGGGTGGTGTGCAACACACCCTCTCCACATTTGGCGTCGGAAGTGGTGTGAGTAAAAATAATTCAGAGTTCCCCAAAAGGCTGGCAGAGACTCTCACAGGTGCCTTTGCATCACGGCCACAAGGCTGGCATGGCTGCCGAGTGGGCCTGGCTAGTCGGAGCTGAGAGGTGCTGTGAGTGTAAATCACACATGGATTTCAAAGACCTAGTTTGAGAAAGGAATGTAAAATATTTCACCTAATAATTTTTTATTATTAAGATATTGATCCTGTATTACAAAAAACACAAACAATGTTCAGATGAGCCTGGCAAGCACTTCCCTACGTGGACGTACACCCCGCCTCTTAGTCTTCTGAGCTGGTGCTCACAATGGGTGCTCCCGAGCAGGTTCTGCAGGCCCTGGGGGGCCCCACGTGGTGGGCGCAGAGTGACAGTTGGGTGAGGGCACCGCACAGACCTTGGACGGGCTCACTCCTGCTTCAGTCTCCTCTCTTGGCAGAGCTGCAGTGCCTGGGCACGCCGTGCCAGTGGCCTGCCTCTCTTGGATGGCCGGGCCCTGCCCTGCCCTGCCCTTCTCTGCAGTTAACATGCCCTCCAGGCAGGTCACTGGTCATGTTTTATACGGAGGGTTTGTAGAAGTGGTGATATTTTGGATATATTGCATTAACTAAAATACGATAGCCTCATTCTCCCGCTTCTTTTTGCTTTTTTAGTGGGGTACTGGAAAATGCAAACCTACACAGGTAGCCCCCTGTGTGTCTATTGGAAGCATCATTTTAGGCCCGGGTTGTCCTGAGTGGTCCAGTGTGACCACTGCTGGGGGTGTTTTTATTCAGAGGGGCTGACATGGGAGCCCTCTGGTGAGGCAGCAGCAACGGCCGGGGCTCGGCTCTCCGAAACAGGCTCCTTCTCCTGGCTTTGGGGTTCTGTGGCAGCTAAAACTCATAGAAATCTGGAAGACCTTTGTCCTGCTTAGGGAACTTTTTGGTGCCAAATGACAGTAAACTACTCATGGTGACTTAAGCAAAAACTGGAATCCTGGCTCTCCTGACTGGACAGGCCAGCGTCTCGGTGGCTACAGACCAGCAGGATGCAGAGGGCAGAGGCCCTTCTCCTGCAGCGCTGTGTCCTCACACAGCCTCACCCCCTGTGTGGTCAGCAAGCCCAGTGGGAGGGCATGCTGCCCTGATGGCTTGGGTCATACCCCTGAGCCAGCCTCACTGGGGAGGGAGCTCCTGGCCTGTCCAGCTAGGGCCTCGGGCCCACCGCAGGAAGGGTCAGTTCAGGGAGTAGGGCAGGTGTGACAGGGTGTGTAGATCTCCAGGCTACCCAGGAGCAGACAGGCCCTAGCAGATGGGCTGGCCGAGTTTAGAAGAAGTTGAGAAGCATTTCTTCAGCAGAGCTGACTCATCTCTATTCCCCAAGGCTGATGGGTCAAGTGGGTGGGGGCAGGCCTAGGGACAGAAGCTCCCTCTCAGGGTAGCCCAGCCCCGCTGGGCCCAAGACCACTTCTGGTCCTGGGGCCCAAGCACTGCCTGCATTCCAGGCCCTATTAGTAAAATGGAACTAAGGTGGGCGACCCTGACTGCCCAGAGCTTAAAGTGAGGTGCAAAGAGGCCAGTTCCTGGGTGACCACAGGGGGGCTATCAACCGTGGCCCGGCCTGAACCTGTGGCACCGCTGATGCATGCCAACCTAGGCAGGCACAGCCTGTGCCCCTGTAAAGATGCCTTTCAACACCAAGTGACATTTACATTCCTCGGGAGTCCTGTGGCAGGAAGCAGAAGTGAGTCCCCTCCGCGGCCCCTTCTCCCTGCCACGTGGGCAGCCACCAGGAGAGGGAACAATTCGTAAGACTGCACATGAGATCCCACACAGGGTCCTGTAGATGGCAATTTCCTTTAACCTAATGAGTCGAGGGGGATGACAATGTCCCTATTTCTATAGCTAAGGACACAAACACATAAGCAATAAATAGAAGAGTGTTGGGAAGAAAAAGTCAAGCCAGGCCAGTGACTGCTGGCCTCAGAAAGGCTCACTTGGGAGCAGGCTGGCCCTCGGCTAGCCTCTGGGGCCTGGGGTTTGGGGAGGATCCCTCTGCTCCCTGACAGAAGGGGCTCCCTGGCCTACACTTTAATGCAGATGTTGGGATTTGTGCTGAACTGCATTCCTCCTGGAGGCTAGGGTTTTCGTGTGCAGGCAGAGGGTGCTCCCGCTGACGCCCCCTGGGATGGGCCAGGACCAGGACAGGAGTCAGGCAGAAGTCAGGCAGGAGTTGCCTGCAGGTGCTAGGCCAGAGGTCATGGCCCAGCCCCCACACAGCCTGCAGGCCTGTCCCTGGACATGCAGCCTTCCTACCAAGGCATCGCTGAGCCATGGCGTCCTTTGACCCATCCGCCGCCTTCCTCTGCTCCTGTCGGCTTGCTGTCCCTGGGCTGTGCTTCATGCCCTGCCTGCTGTCCATGGTCAAAAAGCCATTTCAGTGGCTCCAAAAGAATCCAAAGCTAAAAGAGCCCAACCAGGACCGTCGGCCAGAAGGGCCTTTGGGAGCAGACCACGCAGGCAGTGGGCCCTGGCCGCCTGGAACGGCAGATGGGAATGAGGGAGAAGTGTGGGGACCCATCTCCCGGAGAGGCCCACCACCTTCCTGGTCACCCTCACAGGAGGGTACAGCCTCTGTGCAGAAAAAGGGACATAATGACAGATGGCAGACTACCTGGGACCATCCCAGGCAAATGTACACGTGCAGCCACTCACATGGGACCCACAGCTGCTGGGTCTCCATGAGGTCAGCAGGGCCTGACCTCAGAGCTCCCCCCACCAGCCCAGGGTGTCCGGTTTTCCCGGACGCTGGCTGCACCCAGGCTTGGCGGGCACGTTCCCCTCTGTTCAAACCCTTGTCCTTCTGCCCAGGCCTGGGGCTTCTTGTTGGCTGTGAGTCAGAAGAGCTTTTAGGGCCCCAGGGAGATGGGGAAGCACTTGGGCCCTGCTTAAAGTGAGGTGGTAGAAGTCCCCATGAAGCTAAAGGAAGCATGGCCACAGGACCCGGTAGCTCCTGGCCCGCGGTGTACCCCGCGCTTAGCCCCGCTGCTGCTCCACTGAAACAGTTCACATTACAGGCAGTTCACCCAGATTCCTTCTGTCAGCCACTCCCCAGCCCCAGCCCCCGGCAGTCCCTGCTTTCTGTGTCTGTGGGCTTGTCTCTTCTGGACCTTTCGCATCAGGGGGCCCCCACAGCGTGTGGCCTTCCTGGCTTCTCCCATTCAGTGCCGCGCTGTCCAGGCTCACCCGCACTGTGGCACATCGGGGCTCTGCTCCTCCCTGGGGCTGAGGAGGGTCCCCCTGTGTGTGTGTTTTTCCTGGGGCATAATGACTCCCTGCTAACAGAAATCTTCTCCCGTGGCTCTGGAGGCCAGAATCTGAAATCACGGTGTCGGCAGGGCTGGTTCCCCTGGCTCTCTGAGAGGCATCCCTCCCACCTCTTCTGCAGCTCCTGGGGCCCCAGGTACTCCTGGGATGCACCCCCACCTTTGCCGTGGTCACGTGGTCCCTCTCCGTCTGTCTCCCTCTCCTCACAAGGACACCTGTCATTGGATTTAGGACTGCCCTAGTCCAGGATGTCCCCACCCTGGCTACTTACATCTGCGTTTCCAAACAAGGTTAGTTCACTGGTTCCGAGTGGACATTGATTTGGGGGGCCCGTAGTCAACCCAGTACTGCAGGTAAAACCACATCCCATCTGTCCACTGATCAGGTGACAGATACGTGGCACGAATCCTTTGGGCCTTCGTGAATCGTGCCCTGTGGACGCTCGCGTTGTGCATGTGCAGCTCTTGTGGGTATGCCGCTGGCCAGGAGCTACTGGGTCCTGCCGCCATGCTTCCTTTAGCTTTGTGGGGACCTTTACCACTTGCTTTTAGATCTAAGTTTGCACAACAGGCCTCAAGGGCACACTTCCCCATGTCAAGCCAGCATGTGTGTGTCTGGGCACCAGGCCCCATTAGCATGTGCTGTGTGAGCCAGAGGCTGGTAGGAGGCCAGCGAGCAGACCCAGGATCAGCCAGCCTGACTCGGGCAAGGTGGGTGGCTCCCAGGTGGAAGGAGGCTCATCGCACCCCCCCATGTTCTCTCTCCTGCAGATGGGGTGGGGTGACCTGGGGATATATGGAGAACCTTCCAGAGAGACCCCAAATTTGGACCAGATGGCTAAGGAAGGGATGCTTTTCCCTAACTTCTACGCAGCCAACCCCCTGTGCTCACCCTGTGAGTAAGGCAGGGGCCCCTTGGGGGCAACAGTTCATGGGGCAGGGCTGGTGGGCAAACCCCTGGGCTTTGGGACGTCAGGCTCCCACTGTCCAGGTGGCCCAGGGCTTGGAGCCTATAGGTGTTTTGAGGTAGAACTGCTGCTGTGGTGGCTGCCGCTCTGGGTCCCCAGAGCTGAGCAGCCATGGCTGGTTCAGGAGAAGTGCTGGGGTGCGGGGAGTGATCTCAGCTGCAGTGTGGGGCCACGCGGGCAGGGAGGCAGCCTCCCCACCACCCAGAGGCCACCCCTGCTGGAGAGATGACGCATGATGGCCGATCTGGGGGAAGGGAAGTCACGCAGGGTGGCCTGTGGACCCCGCAGCCCCAGTGACCCACCCGCCACTGAGTGCCAGCCGGTGGGGGCTTGGGAGGCTGCAGAACTGGTGGGCCTGGTGCCGGACCCCCTCATCCTGTCTGTTTTGTCTCCTTGTAGCGAGGGCGGCACTGCTCACCGGACGCCTGCCCATCCGCAGTGGCTTCTACACCACCAACCAGCACGCCAGAAACGGTGCGCCTCGGTCACCCTCACATGCGGGCCTGCTCCTCTGGGGTGCCCGTCCTCACCTGGGCCCAAGGCTTTCTGAGGGTCACGGCATGTCCCTGAGCTGTATTGCGGTGCTCTCATTGAAAACCGCGCCTTTTGGCAACTAGGACGGTGAGGTTGTGTTCCGTCTTGGGGATTCAGGATGAGCTGATGAGCCTGCCGAGGCCACCGGCACCGCTCATGGCTTCTCCTGGCACCTCCTGTGCCTGCTGCGCCTGGCACAACCTGGCGAGCAGGGTACACTCCCCTGCAAGGGGCCGCTGCCCATTGCCCAGGAGGAGACATGAGGAACCAGGTGCCTGGGGTGGGGGCAGAGGGTGGGCATATGGGGTTTCAGGCAGCCCTTGAGGAAGGCAGTGCAGCCAGCATTAGGGAAGCCCGGCTAGAGTGGAGACCCTGTGGTCCAGGTGGCATGTTCCAGAGATCCCGGTGGGCCAGCAGAGGGGGCTGCAGGCCAGGGCTTGGCCTTGGAGGTCCAGCCCCTCTGGGGGCAGGGTTTGCCCATCCCCACGTGTACTGGCTGACTTTGACGAGGACCCTGGAGGGCCCCAGAAGGCCTGTGAAGCGCCAGCTCCTTGGCAGAGTGTCCCCCTCGTCACCCTGCACAGCCCGGCCTGCTCCGTGTGCTTGCAGCTCACGCACATTGTTGCCCCTCCAGCCTACACGCCACAGGAGATCGTGGGCGGCATCCCAGACACGGAGCACCTCCTGCCCGAGCTGCTGAAGGAGGCCGGCTACGCCACCAAGATCGTGGGCAAGTGGTGAGTCCTGCCCCTCGGCGCTGGGGCCCTGTGCCCCGGGGGTCATGACAGCGCTCCCAGATGGGAACCTCGTGGGAGGGAGACAGAGTCAGCCCCAGGCTGGTGGGATGTCTACAGTGGCTCTTTAAAACCCGTGCGGGCCCTTCGGCGTTGGCTGTTATAAGTGTGTTACTCCTACTCCCACCTGTGTTTCTACCTTGTCCCCTGGGGGATAGCCCTGTGTATAGATAGCCCTGGAGGGTTGGTGTGAAGGTCGGATACCCTCTTTCCTTTCCCAAGTGTTGGGGCTGTGGAGACCGGCAAGCCTACTTCCTACAGGCAGCCTTCCCTGATTTTCCAGCCCTTGCCGTCTCCCTTCACAGCCCTGGGGCCCCTCCCCCCTTAACCCCTCCATGCTCCCTGGTACTGCTTTCCCATGGAGAGGCAACTCCTCCGTGCCCCTTGGGGATGGCTGCTCCACACACATGGACAGTCACAGCAGTGGGGGGTGTGGGACCAAGGAGTAGTGGTCCGAAAATCCAGGTGACCTGGAGGCCCCCTGGCAAGCGCTGTCTCACTCCAGAGACCCTTGGGAGCCGTCCTATCAAGCACACGAGCTCAGGGCGGGGGGTGGCTGTAAAGCGGACCTGGTGGTGCAGTGCCAGGGAGTCCGGGTGTAGGCGGAGCCAGCCATGAGGCCTCCAGAGCCGGGTCAAGGCTGCCCTGGTGACGACCACACTCTGTGCCCACCTGGCAGTCCCGCCCAGGGTCTGGCAACCTCCCACTCACGGTCACTGATATGGGCAGCCAGAGCAGGAATGGGCACACTGCCACAAGCTCCCAAGGCCCCTGACAACCGTCGGGAGAGAGGTGCACGCGGGAGCCAGGGAACGGGGGGCAGGGCCTGGAGAGGCAGGCGAGCGAGGCCTCGCAGAGCAGACCCGTGCAGGGGGGCAGCTGGGGGCCAGGCAGCCGCGGCCCGAGGCCGAGGACCTGGCCTCTCCTTGCGGGTGGCAGGGTGGAGAGCCTGGTGTCAGGGGTTCCTTTCAGGGCCTTGGGGGTGCTGGTGGCCATGGCGGGGCCTGTCCTGGTGTCTTGACACCCAGCCCCAGCACTTCAGCCTGACCCGGGGTGGACAGCCTGGGCTCCGTAAGGGGCTGCTCGGCCTGCCTGGCTTCCCAGGGCACCCCAGCTCACCTGGGGCGGGGCTGGCCCCACTGCTGTTTGGGGACGGGCCCTCTGAATCGGTGGCATAACGTGAACAGGATGCAGCCGGGTGTTTCCGTTACACAAGAGCCACACGAGCAGATAGAGGCACACAGCCATGTGCCTGCCTCCCGGCTAGTGCTGGAGCAGGCACGGGGGGCAGCGGGGCGCTGAAGCGGCAAAGAGGGAGCAGCACGAGCTGGTGACGAGGTTTCTCCAGAGGAAGAAGCCGCTGCAGAGCCGAGGCCCGTGCCCCTGGCAGGGGGGCTGCAGGGGCCGAGGAGGGCCCTGGGCACCATCAGGGGCAGAGCATTGGAAAGCCGTCAGTGGGGGCCAAGGTCCGGCTCAGCTCTGGCCCCCACTACCCACCCCCTGACTGCTCCCCGCCGTGGGTCCCTGGCCCAGTGACCAAGTGGTACATCTGAGTCCGTAGTGGCCTGGGGTCTGCGTGACCCACCGCAAGGCCTCTGAATGGTCGGGGTGGGCCTGCCTGCTATGCCGCCCAGGGCCATGCTTCAAGCCCGTGTCTCTGTGAGAGGCTTTCTGAAAATGTGAACCCAGGAACCTGGCCCACATCCCGGGTGCAGCTGCCTCCCTCCCGGGCAGCGGTGACCAGAGCCAGCCTCACAGATACCACCCCTCCAAGCCACGTTTTCAGGGGCGGGAGGGGCCATGCTCGAGGACCACTGGCCCCTCCGGTTTGGAGGATGCATGTCCACACCTCCTGCCGGTCGGAGGACCCAGCATTAGGCACCCCGAGCCGGGGGCATGGGGGCAGGAGCACAGGGCAGGATCCAGGAGGAAGCTCCGCACAACTCCATCAACGCCCGCCGTGTGTGAGGGCTTCCAGACAGCCGCTCTGCTCCGCAGAGAGCACGGGTCTCTGAGCCGCTTGACAGTTTGCGGGGGGGCACAGCCTCCCCTACTGAGGGCCAGGCCTGGGTCGGTGGGCAGCACAAGCAGGCCCTGGCTGTCCAGTCTGGGCAGTCTGTGGTGGCCGGCTCAGCCAGCCCCCGCCCAGGCCATCTTCAGGGAGTGATTCACCCTTAACCTGGCAAGGAGGCTCTTAGCTGCTTTAACCTGAGACACTAGTGATCTGGCTGGGGCGGTTCCTTCCTCACAAACCCAGAGAGAGGCTGGGCCCACAGAGCCGCCTGAGAACTAAGGCACAGGCGCGGGGAGAGCACCGGAGCAGAGATGGGCTGCGGCTGCGGTTCACACCTTCCTGGGCGTGAGACCCCACCAGGCCTCGGCTTCCCGGGCCTTTCCCAGCGCTCCCAGTGGGATGCCCCAGCACTGCTCTGTGCTCTCACCTGACCCGGACACCCTCACTCCGCCTCTGTGCCCTCATCCATGCCCGGACACCCTCACCCTGCCCCCGTGCCCGCCTCCATGCCTGGACACCCTCACCCTGCCCCATGCCCTCCTCATGCCCTGACACGTCACTGTGCCCAGATACCCTCACCCTGCCCCGTGCCTGCCTCCATGCCTGGACACCTTCACCCTGCCCCATGCCCACCTCTCTGCGCAGACACTCTGTGCCCAGACGCCCTCTGTGCTGCAGGGCAGTTGCTTCCCTGAATTAACTGAGAAGGCGCCGGGTTGGCACTGCTCAAAACTTGCGGGGGTCCCTGAGCAGGGGTCCCTGAAGCACCCTGGGTTTCGTTTTCAGGCATCTGGGCCACAGGCCTCAGTTCCACCCCTTGAAGCACGGATTTGACGAATGGTTCGGATCCCCCAACTGTCACTTTGGACCTTATGACAACAGGGACAGGCCCAACATTCCTGTGTACAGGGACTGGGAGATGGTCGGCAGGTAACCGGTCCCTTCCTTTCCTGCACCACTGTCCTGCCCTTCTGCCCAGGGCCTTACAGGACTCGTGGCCTGGGGCTGCTGCAAACTGCTTCTGCGGAGCTTTCCAACCTTTTCAGAAATGGGATGACAGCCAGGTTCTCCCCAGAACAAGGCACTCTCACAGTTGCTGGGGGTCAGGCCCGCGGGCAGGTCCTGGGCTCCAGGTTCAGAGACCACTTCCTGCACCAAGTCGGCACGTCAGCGGTGCTGGACACGGCCAGGAAACTGCAGCTAGTGCACCCTCTCTGAGCCTGCTGGAGCTGGCCTCGCCAGGGCAGCCCTGCACAGGGCCTGTGGTGGGCTGCCCTGGGGCAGCCTGGTCCTCCACGCACTTTGTTTAGCTTAATTCGTCTTCGCCTTTTTTTCTGACTTCTGTGTTTCTTTATGTGTTTGGTGGAAGCTTTATCAGGCATCATGGATCAAAACCTGGCCGCACCATTGCCCTTCAGGTAAAGCGTTGCCGAGGGGTGGTGCACACCCACTTGGACTCTCCTAGCACATGCCAGCGTGGTGCGGCCGTTCTCAGGGCCTGCGTCTCCCAGCAGCGCGCACACAGCCCTGATGCCCCACACGCCCCTCTCCTCCCTCTTCCCGCCCCCCGGACACCTGTCGGGTAACTGGCCCCTGCAGGGTGGCAGCGCGAGCGTCCAGTCGGACGTGTCCATCAGCTGAATGTCTCCGTTTTTGTTTTAAACGAGGCCCAGCACTGCCTGTGGGTCGGGAAGGAAGGGGGTTTCCTGGCATGAAGTCTGATTTCTCTTCTGAATCTATTATTTTCAGATTTTATGAAGAATTTCCAATTAATCTGAAGACAGGAGAAGCCAACCTCACCCAGATCTACCTACAGGTAGCAGAAGGCTGGGCTGGGCAGCCCTGGCGGGGAGGTCGCCTACAGGCCAAGGACCACAGGGTGTCCTTCTCTCCAGGAGGCCCTGGACTTCATTAAGAGGCAGTGGGCAGCTCAGCGCCCTTTCTTTCTCTACTGGGCCATTGATGCCACACACGCACCCATCTATGCTTCTAAGCCCTTCTTGGACACCAGCCGGCGAGGGCGGTAAGTCCTTGGCCAGAGAGACTCAGTCTCCCAACCTGGGGCACTTGGCTCTACTCAATCACCCCCAAGGACAGGGCACTCAGCACGCTCACGTCCCCAATGAGTGATGACAGGAAAGGGCTGAAGTGCCCCCTCCTCCTGGAGCTGTCGCCAGCCCGGGGTTAGCGGAAGGGGGCAGCAGGTCCCCTCCGGGACCGACTCTGGGACTCGGGGCTCCCCCTCCCCTTCTGTGAACTCAGCCAGCTGTGCTGCTGTCCCTGATGTCACGGGGTCACAGCTCTCCGACCGGCCACCAGAGCCCCGTCCTCCCCGCAGGTACGGGGACGCCATCCGGGAGATCGATGACAGCGTCGGGAAAATCCTGAGCCTTCTCCGGGACCTGAGGATCGCGGAGAGCACACTTGTCTTCTTCACTTCCGATAATGGCGCTGCCCTCATCTCTGCTCCCAAACAAGGCAGGTGTTCCAGCCGTTCCTCCCCAGGCCTCATGTCCACAAACCAGGCCCCACTCGGGGCCTGGATCACTGAGACGTACCTGGTACTTCAGCTGCCCCTGGGGCAGTGAGAAGAGGGTGAAGATGCCCGCTGTCCT